CCCTCCCTCCCTCTCTCTCCCTCCCTCCCTCCCCTTCCATCTCTCCCTCTCTCTCCCTCTCTCTCCTTTCCCTTGGCCAGTTTTGGTGAGCAACTCAGCCTTCTGGAAATTCCAGTTTCCCTTTTTTATAAAATCTTCTTGCTTCCCTTCTTCCTAAAAATCTGTTTAGCCTGTCTGCCATTTGCAGGTGCATAAAACCAATGGATCGGACCAGCAGTCTGCAATCTGATTTCTGTACCAGCTGCTCCAGTACAGCGAGTCCTCAACTTACCACAGTTCATTTAGTGACCGTTCAAAGTTTACGACGGCACTGAAAAAAAAGGGACTATGTTTTTCACACTTAACAACCATTGCCGCATCCTCTTGGTCACGTAGTCAAAATTCCTACGATTGGTAATTAGAATAGAATGGAATAGGAATAGAATAGAATTCTCTTTTTTTTTTGGCCAAATGTGATTGGACACACAAGGAATTTTTTCTTGGTGCAAATGCTCTCAGTGCACATAAAAGAAAAGATACTTTTGTCAAGAGTCAAGAATCATCAGGTACGACAATAATAGTCATAGAGGATACAAATAAGCAATCAAATCATATTAGGGAACAAATAAAACAATATAAATCGTAAAGATACAAGCAATAAAAGTTACAGTCATAAGTGGGAAGAGATAGGTAATAGGAAGGATGAGAAGAAGAATAGTAATACAGTCTTAGTAAATAGTTTGACAGTGTTGTGGGAATTAGTTGTTTAGCAGAGTGATGTCATTGGGGGGAAAAACTGCCCTTGTGTCTAGCGGTTCATGTTGATGACTGTTACTGTCTCCCGAGATCCCGCAGTCAACCAGCAAAGTCAACGGGTGAAGCCAGATTGATTTCACAGCCGTGTGACTAACTTGACAACCGCAGTGATTCATTTAACAACCGTTGTTAAGCCTGGATTCCCCAACGGGTGTTAAGGAAAACAAACTAAACAGAATGTGCAGCGAAGTCAGATAGGAAGACAGGTAAATGTGTGAGATAAGTTTTCTAGTTAACACGCAGTAAAAATACAGATACGCTTGTGCTATCAAAATTATAATTTATTCCATTTAAGAATTATAGCATAGTCATTATAAACAGTCCATTAGTCATATACCAAATTCAGTCAAGTCTTGTCGAGGATACTCTAATTGCAAAGTCCGTGTTGAATAGCCAATGTCAGTACACATATAATAAATCTGTCCAAAAACTTATCTTCTCTCCGTTGAGAAATATCTTCAAAGTAATACAACACTTCTTCTCCTCCCCGATCCAGCAAGAACGCAGTCTTCAATAAGCCAGCCAGTAAGAGCCAGAGAGTGCCTTGCTGCTTATATAGTACTTTTACAGCTGCACCATTAATTACATTCCTTTAGCTTAAAGTCACATACACTTTATCTGACAAACCATGATTCATCATTTTATTATCTTTACCCAAAACAGTTAGGGTAAAACAATGTTATCCCTAACAACCGTAAACAAGGAAGGTTGTAAAAGGGCGCAAAACTCAACGCCTGGCTCCCTTGGGGTCGTGAGTGTGAAAAACGATCCTAAGAGCTTTTTTTCCCAGGGCCATGGTAACTTTGAATGGTCACTAAATGAACTGTTGTAAGTCGAGGACTCTCTGTGCAACGATCAGTTGCTCCGGGGTGTGAACATTTCCTTTGGTATTTATCTCAAATATTTCCTATACGATGAAATACTTACAACTCGATATCACTAGGTCAGGGTTTCTCAAAATATTTCCTTCCCTAGTCTTTCACAGAATCTGAACAATAGCCAGTTTGTTTCTTTCAAAAAAAAAAAAAGGAATTACAGCCTGTCTGGAAAGTGTTGGGGGAGAGGCAAAGGCAGATATGTACACACAGATCAGAAAAGTAATCCCATGAGTACCTCCTCAAAGGCCGCCTCCTCTGTTTATCAGCCTAATTGACAAAAACCTTGGGTAACAATGCCACATCTCTATAACTGTTGTGGTTCGCCAGCAGCAGGTGCGGACGGCTGAGGTCTGGGAGAGCGAGGACTCAGATGAGGGGCCTGCGTGTGATGCAGGGATGGGGCCAGGACCATCAGGGAGTGGAGTGCTGCCTTCAGAGCTTGTGGAGGCTGGCAGCAGTGATGAAGAGGCCCCCGAGGAGCCTGTGCCCAGTGCGCGCACACAGGGCTGCTCTAAGGAAAGAGCAGTTGCAGCAGCACAGGCAACTCGGGAGTAAGGTTGCAAGGTAATGGCCCCTCCCTTAAGAGATAAAAGCCAGCTGAGAAACCGGAGTTCTTTGCAGGAAGCAAAGAAGTTTTTGCACTCAAACCTTGTGGACGTTCGGAATATCTTGGTTGGTGTTTTTTGGAGACTCTTGGTGTTTGAAATATTTCTTGGAAACTTTATCTAGTGTTCTTGGCAGCCTTGCACAACCTTGGCAAGGCTTGTTCTCATCAGCGACAATCAGTTTGAAACAGCCTTTTAACCGTGAAGGAATGGAATTCGTAAAGAATCATTAAAAGGTTTGGCTGTTACCTCTGTTTCGTGTTTGTTTCCTTGGAACAAGGTTTGGGTCAGAACAATAACTGGCTTCAGTTTGTATGACTTCGTGCTCAGGGTATCAATATTAATTAACGATTATTGGGATGATGCAAGCACAAATCAGATTGGGAGATCTCGGATTGGAAAAACCGGTGTGGTCAAATCTTCTTAAGTTGCAGATTCTGAAAGGTTACTCCAATTTTAGTTGTCTCTTCCCTAGGCTAGTTTATGACAATCTACTCGTAGAAATATATTGAACATTAAACCATCTTTTGTCCATTGGTTTGGGTAGAGCAGTGATGGCTAACCTTTTCTGCACCACACTTGAAGAAAGCCTTTGCAGACCGAAAAAATAGGCCCGTTTGGTCACTTCCTGTATTTCCGGAAATACCGGAAGTGATGAAATGGGCCCATTTTTTCGGCCTGCAGAAGCTTTCCTCAAGCCTCTGGGAGGCCGAAAAAGGCCTCCAATGGGCCGAAAATCAGATGGGAGGCGCAGTGCAGGTAAGGAGGAAGGGGGGCATTGCGCATGCATGCACAGGACATGGGGGGGGACGCACACATTGCCTTCTGGCTGCTGGCATGCAAGCAGCGCTTGCAAGCACACACACAATTTTTGGCACAGGTGCCCAAAAAGGTTAGTCAACACTGGCCTAACCAAGGAATCTCTTAGACCGTCCCACCCAGACAGCCAAGAAACCAAAATATAAACCGACAGCAAATACCACTCCTTACTAGCACTGACGATGCATTACCTTGTTTGGGTAATAAAAACGTCTGCAAGAAAACAAACAGGCTCAGGGATCACCAAGAACCCCCTCACTTCAACCTTGAGCTATAAATAGTCTCCTTTATTGGTTATACCAGTGATGGCTAACTTTTCCGTCCTCGCCTGCCAAAAGCGCGTCTCCCAAGGGCCCCCCCAACATGCGTGGCAGCTACCCGACGATTAGCTGGCGGGCGGGCGGCGGGCATGCACGCTCAGTGGACCTGCTCTGGTGCAACGGCTCGCATGCCGGCGAAGCTGGCTCTACGTGCCACTTCTGCCATGGGTGCTATAGGTTTGCCACCACGGGGTTATACCATTCCCTTGGATTATTATTATTTTATCTTTTTTAATTCCAGGCCAGAACGCTTCCTTGCTAACCCGTCTCCAATTCCTGCACCAGCATCCTTCCCCGCACCCTGAGAAACAGTTTCCCAGGACCGATCCCCAGCCAGATTAAGCATTAAGAAGCGACGATGGCAGGGGAACACAGAAACCCAGCCGGCTTGGATCTCCAGCTAGATGCCAATGTGGAAGATGGCCTGAAAGTCGAGGTCCACAAAGAAGCTGAACCCAAGAAGGAAGTGGCGGAAAGGCCTCTCAGGATTCCTTCGGAGAGAGCCAAAGAATCCGCGGAAAGAGTAACGGCGGAAGCCATTAAACAGGAGCCGGCGGCCAATCCAGAAGACTGTTGCTTGGAAGTGGAAGAAGAGAAGTTTATGATAGGCAAACAGTCCCCGGTTTCTGAGCCAGGGAATGAGCAGCTGCTGAAGGTGGAAGGAAGCGTCCATTCGGAGGCCGAACTCTCGTCCCTGGAGGAAACCTCCGACGTCGGCCTGCACCGCCGGCAGAACAGGATAATCCAGCCCCTCTTGCACATTGGTGAAGAAGCCCGGCCGTTGGTCAACAGCGCCTGCGCGAAAGACAAGACTGAATTCATAGAGGTAGGGGAGGAGGGCCTGGAAGTGACCGGCGCCAGCCTGGACATTGAACGCCAGTGTTTCCGGCAGTTCTGCTACCAGGACGCCGAGGGTCCCCGCGAAGTCTGCGGCATGCTGTGGAAGCTCTGCCATCGCTGGCTGCAACCGGAGCGGCGTTCTAAAAGCCAGATCCTGGAGCTGGTGATCTTGGAGCAGTTCCTGTCCATTTTGCCCGAAGAAATGCAGAACTGGGTCCGAGCCGGGCATCCAGAGACCTGCTTTCAAGCTGTTAGCCTGGCTGAGAATTTCCTGGGACGTCAGCAAGGGACAGAGCGGGGGGAACGGCAGGTGAGAAAGAGGGGTTGGGAAGGAGGAACTGGGAAACTGAGGCTCGGCGAGCGACATCAAGCGTGGCCACCAAAATTTGGTTGGGAGAGGAGCAACAGGTTACCGCAATGTTTTCAACCTTGGCAATGTGAAGGTGTGTGGACTTCAACTCCCAGAATTCTGGGAGTTGAAGTCCACACACCTTCACATTGCTAAAGCTGAGAAACACAGATCTAGTCTAAATATCATAACAAAATCTAAATAATCTAACAGCTATTTTCTTCCTCTTATACCTAAGAGAATCAGTTTGGGCCAATTTTGAGCATATTCCTCACCCCCTTCCTGTTCCTCCAGGCAAAATTAAATGTTTTTATAACGGTAGTCCTTGACCTACGACCATAGTTGAGCCCCAAAATTTCTGCTGCTAAGCGAGACATTTGTGAAATGAGTTTTGCCCCACTTCACGACCTACTTTGCCAGCGGTTGTGAAGCGAATCGCTGCACTTGTGAAGTTCGTAACACGGTTGCTGAGCCAATCTGGCTTCCCCATTGACCTCGCTTGTCACAAGGTCGCCGAAAAGGGATCATGCCAATTCCAGCCCACTGCAACTGTCATAAATATGAGTCGGTCGCCAGGCGTCCGAATTCTGATCGCACGTGACCAGGTGCACGCCGCAAATCTCCGTAAGTGCGAAAAACGGTCACGAGGCACAAACTGTCGTAAGTTGAGGACTACCTGTAACCTTTTTCCAGACTGTTTTCGTGTGTCCCCCCCCCCCCCCCCCCCCCCCAAATGCCTGAGTGTTCATTTGAAAAGAAAAAAGAAAAAGAGAGCTTGGAAAAAAAATCATCTCTTCAATGGCTTGTTAAGCTCCCTGGGCCTTTTGGCTGCCATTTTGAGACCCGTTAAAGAAAGGCCTTACTTCATCAGCCATTTTGTGCAATGCTTTCAAATTCCAGACAGGCAAGAGAGGCTGAAAATGTTTGCTTCCACCCCCCCTCGGACGGGAAGGCCCAGTCTCTCCAGAATGTTTGGAATTTGTTTGGAATTGCAGGAATGGAAGATTAATACAACTGCGAGAGCCAGGAAAGATACCACTTCAATTCAGGACCAGGAATTGCCGAGTTTTCAAGGGCTTGTTTCCAATAAATCAAGGAGGAACCCAGTGTTGGAATGTTTCAAACGGCAAACATTTAAATCAGCGAAGGAGCAGGTGTAGAAAAGTATAGGGGGGTCCTCGGCTTACAACCACAATGGAGCCCAACTTTTCTGTTGCTAAGTGAAACCTGTGTTCAGTGATTTTTTTTTTTGCCCCGTTTTACAACCTTTCTTGCCACAGTTGTTACGTTTGCCTCAGGGATGTTAAGTGAATCTGGCTTCCCCGTGGACTTTGCTTGCCAAAAGGTCGCGAAAAAGAATTACCTCAGGGGTGGGTGCTACCGGTTCACCCCGGTTCAAGCAAACCAGTAGTTAATTTTATTGGCGGTTCGGTGAAGCGGCAAATCCCACCCCTGGCTGGCCCCACCCCGCCCCTCCCAGGATTCCCCATGCGCTTGTTTTGGATCCCAGTTAAGTGCGGTGGCTCAGGGAGGGCAAAAAACAGGCCTCCCAGAAGTTCCGGAAGGCCAGAAACGGGCCTGTTTCCATCCTCCAGAGACCCTGGGGAGGCCGTTTTCGTCCTCCCAGAAGCTTGAGGAAAGCCTCCGGAGCCCAGGGAGGACAAAAACAGCCCCCCCCCCTCAATGGTGCACGAGGCCAACTAGGCCACGCCCACCTAGCAACCGGCCAGAGAACCCTTTGCTAAATATTTTGAAGGCCACCCCTGGATGACATCACCCCACGACATAACTATGAGTCAGTTGACAAGTGTCTTGGAATTTTGATCACATGACTGTGGGGAATGCTGTGAAAAGTGGTCACAAGTCGCTTTTTTTCAGTGCTGTGGTAGCTTTGAACGCTCACTAGGTGAACTGATGTGAGTGGAGGACTACCTCTACAGCAGCAGAGCGCAGGTTTTCAACATCAGAGGTCACCCAGCAGTTCTTGCCCTCTTTTAGCTTTGAGAAGGGCCCTTGCCCAATATCTGAAAAGGAGGGTAATTGAAATGAGGCTATCCAGATGTTCCTCGGCTCCAGCCTTAAGCCTGGAGTGCGCACTCTGAGGCTTCTTGGCGTTTAGCGTAATAGGGAGTCCTATTACAAATTCAGCCACAGAAACCCCAGACCCGTGATGGTGAACCTATGGCACACGTGCCACAGTGGCACGCAGAGCCATTTGGGCAGGCACACAAGCCCCAGCCAAACCTACCTGCACTGCGCATGCGTGCGCCTCCCAGCTGATTTTCGGCCTGTTTGAGGCCATTTTCGCCCTCCCGGAGGCTCGAGGAAAGCCTCTGCAGCCTCGGGAGGCCGAAAAACGGGCCTTCTGGAAATACCGGAAGTGCCGAAACGGGCCCATTTTCAGCCTCCCAAGGCTGCAGAGGCTTCCCTCGAGTCTCCGGGAGGGTGAAAACAGCCTCAAACAGGCCGAAAATCAGCTGGGAGGCGCACGCATGCGCAGTGCAGGTAAAGGGGCGGGGTGGGGGTGGGGGCCCATCCATGCGCGGGGGGGGCGCATTGCATCGTGGGTGCTGGGGCGCGTGCGCTTTCGGCACACCACAACAAAAAGGTTCAGCATCACTGCCCTAGACAATGCAGGCGGTCCTTGACTTAACGACCACAGTTGAGGCCAACATTTCTGTCGTTATGTGAGAGATAGTTGTTAAGTAAGTTTTGCCCCCATTTTACGACCTTCCTTGCCAGGGTTCTCAACTGAATCCCCACAGTTAATTGGTAATGAAGAACAGATTTGGCGGGCATGGCCACCCTGGAAAGAGCGATGGACCGGCCTGCGGGGTCTCTGTCAGCAAAAATGGAGCGCAGGAGGGCCATTCTCAGGCTCCATTTTTAACCACAATAGCCTCCTGCAGCCTTCTGCCAGTGAAAAACGGAGCCTGTGCGTGGCCTACCTGTGCTCCATTTTCAGCCGCGGCAACCTCCTGCAGCCCCTCTGCCAGCAAAAATTGAGCCAGTGACATTGAGCTGGCCACACAACCCTGTCCCCCTGCCCCAAGGTGACACACAACCCTGATGCAACCCTCAATAAATTGACTTTGACTCCCCTGATCTATATGTAGACAGACTGTTATTTTCCCAGTTAGTAGGTGTGGGTTTGGGGATTGGGTGTGCAGCTAGGCTGGCGGGAAAGTCCAGATCCTCCTCGCCTCTCACTCCTTCCCTTCTGCTACTGTCTTGCTGTTGGGTCTGGCTGTTTTTCTAGGGTCTCTGGCCCTTCAAAGAGGCAACTGTGGATTTCCATGGGACCGTAGGGCCACCGATGGAGTCGAGCGAATGGCCGATGTTCAGGGAGAACAAAGAAGAGGACGTCCCTTTACTGGGTAAGGATTTCCCAGCCTTTCAACCCCAAAACAGCAAGCAAAAAGGTTTAAAAAAAAAAAAAAGGCTAGCCTCAAAGGCAGAAATCTTCCCCAGGTTTCCTAGCTATTCCAGTGATGCTGCGACGTCGCTCTTCCGCTCGCTTTATTACAGACCTCCAGGAATGTTGACTTTTCCCTTCTCTGGGATCACGAAACTTCCGTTTCCATTTGAAGTACCTTGGATGCCACCCCGCTGTTTGAGCTGCCGATTGGTTGACATTCCGTTTGGTTAAAGAAGCCAGGATTGAGCTGGGTAGACGTTTCTAGAGTTGCCCCTGTGCTCTGAGACCATCCTGGCATTGCCCAATTACAAAAAAAAGGCTTGAGCTAGCACTACCAGTGGCCTGACTGGCGTCCGTGTCTTTCCTTGGGAAGCCCCCACCCCACCCCCGCTTCCGTGGCAGAGGCAAAAGCCACGTTATAAGGCGCCTCTCCTTATTTCAGCAGCCGCTCAGAGGCCTTTGGGGCAAGTGAAGAATTCCCTCTCCCCAATTCTAGGTGAGTCGCCTGCTAGAGTAGTACAGAATGCATCTGTCAACATCCAGCTCGAGAATCCACAAATAAACCCCTGGTTCATTCCTGTTTCCGAATATCTTACTGTTTATTGAATACACGGCACAATAATGTCGAAGTAAAATTAACTCTTGAGGTTCCCAAACACCAGTTCATACAATTAAACAATAATTTTCCCAGCCAAACTCTCCAGCTACCGTGTTTCTCATATAATAAGGCCGGGTCTTTTTTTTTTTTTTTTGAGCCCCGAAAAAATGGCTAGGCCATCTTTTCGGGGGTTACTTAATTCCCCCCCCTTGCATCTTCAGGCGGGTGGGCGGCGACGGCTTAGAGGTTGACCTCGGCGTTGGTGGGGCACTTCGTATCGGGGTCAACGCAGGCAGCACCATATCCGGGTGTGCAACAAAAGTACTTCCTAATGGCAAGCCCCCCCACCATTCCCCCCCATTTCACATGTTTTAATATAGGCCTTAATTTGGGGGGAGGGGCTTAATTTCATTTCATGCCTATAAAACATGCTGGGACTTCCTATTGGGGGAGGCCGTATTGTTGGAGAAACAGGGTAGTCAGATTGGATCCTACGAAAGGCATGTCCACAGATCAGTCCCAAACCGGCCAGAGTAATTAAGCAGGCAACTGTGTTTCTTTTCCAGCTTCGGTGGGGAATCCATACACCTGCTGGGACTGCGGAGAGAGCTTTTCGGGGATAGACGTGCTGGTGGCCCACCAGAGCATCCACACGGGAGAGAAACCCTTCATTTGCTCCAAATGCGGGCAGAGCTTCAGCCAGCGCTCGCAGCTGACCGCCCACGAAAAAAGCCACGTGCCAAAGAAGGCTTTCCCTTGCCCGGACTGCGAACACAGCTTTAGCAAGAAAAGCGGGCTCTTGGCTCACCAGAGGACACATACGGGAGAGAAGCCGTATCATTGTGTCGACTGCGGACAGAGTTTCGCCCACAAGTTCGACGTCATCCGGCACCAGCGTATCCACACGGGAGAGAAACCGCACGAGTGCCCCGTCTGTGGGAAGAGCTTCCGAAACACCTCCGCTTACCACGTCCACATGAGGATCCACACGGAAGAGAAGCCCTACCCTTGCTCGGTTTGCGGGAAGAGCTTCCGGCACCGGGCCAACGTCATTGTCCATGAGAGGATCCACACGGGAGAAAAACCGTACGTTTGCGTGGAATGCGGGAAGAGCTTCGGCGACGCGTCTTCTCTTAGGAAGCACAGAAGATCCCACACCGGAGAGAGGCCGTACCACTGCGGGGAGTGCGGGAAAAGCTTTTCTCAGAACGCCGGGCTGGTTCAACACGAGAAAATCCATACGGGAGAAAAACCCTACCAGTGTCCCGAATGTCCCAAAAGTTTCCGGGACAAATCGGCTTATGTCGCTCACCAGAGGACCCACACGAAGGAGACTCCCTACCGTTGCATGGTCTGCGGCAAATGCTTCGGCCATCGCTCCAACCTTCACAAGCATGAAAAAATCCACGCCCGGAGACAGATGGTTTGAGTACTCCGCTTCGTTCTGAAACCAAAAACTCCTCGTGCATGAACAGACTCGTTTGAAGGAGAAGGCGTAAAGCCCTTCCCTCACCTTGATAGTTTTTGTTTTGTCCACCAGGTCTGCGCCGTACCTTCTCTTCCTTCTCGCTTAACGGACAGCCGGAGCAACGCAGCGGTGTATGTTTGGAGAAGTCGACCGATCATGTGATGGGTGAATAGGACATTGTCTCTATGGCCATCGTGGTTTTTTCTTTCCTTGGTTTTCCTTTTCCTTACCTCTTAGATTTTTTTTTTTTTTAAAGAAAACGGATTATATTTTAAGTGAGTTGATTTAACTCATACGTTTGGATTGCATGTACGCTATAACCAGTTCAATGTGAACATTTCGGCTAGCTCTGGCTCCGACCAAGGTTTGTTCCTTACAAGCGGTCGCATCAGTGTAAGAGAAACTGCTGGGGGCTCCTGCCCATTTTGATTCCCCCCCCCCCCGTCCTGAAGCCGCGCAGGGTGTGGAGGCCTGGCGTTTGGGAGGGGGAATGAGTTACGGACGTTGAAGAGGGCAAGTTTGCGGCCATGGGATGGAGTTGAGTTTGGGTCCATCCTAAAGCGTTGCCCCCTATCGGGAAAATGGTACATGCCCAACAGGGATGCATCTGGGCAGTTTTTGCTGATGTCTGCGGCCCAAGGGCAGCTGTGAACTTGGCATCGTGAGAAGGCCTGTCGGAAATGCCATGTCAAGGATCTACCAGAGTGAACCTGCCTACCACCTTTGGTTTCTCACCTCGGCAAGGATGAGGGAGCCACCTCCCTTTTCGGGAGGGTTCAACCAGCACGTTCTTGCCAGCTTCTGATTGGTGGGGGTTTCCCCCACTTCCTTTCAGCCCTCCTCCTCCTCTTCCTCCTCCCCCCCTCCACTCCCCCTTTACCTCAAAGTAATAGCAGGTATATTTTATTTTTCTTTCTCTCTCGTCTTTGGCTTTAACGCACATGAAGATCCATATGCTCTCGGAACGCAAGTTAATGGACCTTGGCTTATAGTGATTCCATATAGGCATTGTAGAAGCTAACTTTATTTAATCGTTCTTTTTATACTGCACCCTGCTTTATTTCTCTTCAAATCTCTCTTTCGTCCAAATTTAATAAAGTCTTTCTAAATTGCATTTTGGTGTCGACAGACTATATTTTAATTCGGGGAGGAAATTAGGCTCCAAAAATGTCCTATGAATTTCTGGTGACCTGCAGAAATGATGAGAGTTCAAGATCTATACTTAGGCAAGAAAAACCAAAAGTACACATATAGACTGGGTGAAACCAGGCTCAATAGCAGTAACTGTGAGAGGGATCTTGGAGTCTTAGTGGACAACCAGCTAAATATGAGCCAGCAGTGTGCAGTGGCAGCCAAAAAAGCTAATGCAATCCTAAATTGTATTAACAGAGGGATACAGTCAAGATCAAGGGAGGTACTAATACTACTCTATAAAGCCTTAGTAAGACCACACCTAGAGTACTGCATCCAGTTTTGGTCACCACATTATAAAGATGTTGAGACTAGAAAAAGTGCAAAGAGCAACCAGGATGATTAGGGGACTGGAGACTAAGGCATATGAAGGATGGTTACAGGAACTGGGCATGGCTAGTCTACTGAAGAGAAGGACCAGGGGAGACATGATAGCAGTCTTCCAATATTTGAGGGGCTGCCCCAGAGAGGAAGGGGGTCAAGCTATTTTCTAAAGCACCCAAAGGCCAGACAAAGAATAATGGATGGAAACTGATCAAGGAGAGATTCGACCTGGAAGTAAGGAGAAATTGGGCTGTTGGTTTGATCCGAGCTATAATATTCAAACACATAAGGAGAAATTTTCTGACAGCGAGAACAATCAACCACTGGAACAGAAGTTGCTTTCAGAAGTTGTGGGAGCTTCATCACTGGAAGCTTTCAAGAAGAGACTGGACAGACATACGACAAAAATGGTGTAGGGTCTCCTGCTTGGAAAGGGGGTTGGACTAGATGACCTACAAAGTCCCTTCCAACTCTGTCATTCTGTTCTGTTATTCACCTCTGCACTTCTACTTTTTCTATCTCTATGGTCCGATAGCCACAAGGGATTACATACCAGAAATAAAAGCTGTTACCATGGGATTCAATCACCACAGAGATAGAAAAACGAAGAGTGACTGAACCTGTGCTCATTCAAACTATAGACGCCTGGTTTCCTAGAAGGCGTGAAGCTGGGTTCCTGTATTGCGTTCATTGTAAACCAACTACACAACTTGATTCACACGACACAATGAGCCACAAACTTAACAAATTGTATTTCTATGAGCTGAGCAGCCTCTGTAGCTTCGTTTCGCTTCTGTGCCACCAGCGCCATGAGGAATAGAAATGCAGACTCCGGTACGGAGCACCTTCGCACAGTCCACTAAACGTGGCTTGTTTCTAGCTTAATATGTCATGCCGACTCAAACTCAGCTTTGAGAGAACCCAACTGATCATGGCTTACTAAATTAACCACGTTAAAATACAGTTAAAACACTTAAATATGATGAATATGAAGATATTTAAAGAGGCATTAAGAATTTAAGGAAGTAGATTAAGTAACGAATTGAAAAAATTCATAAAATAAGCGGGAAGGAATTAGATGAATAAAATTAAAGAAAATATATAAAGTCAAGGTATGTTATCAATCGTGAAAGGTGAGTAGGAAATGAAAGTCAAGTTTGTACGGAAATGTGTTAACCTGGAATCATGCTGTTCGCCGAAAAAATATGTTTTTTAATATGTGAAAATTGAATAAAACTTTCTCAGAAAAAAAAACCCACTTAAATTAATGGAAAGTTTTGCCCCCAGAAGTTGTGAGTGCTCCCACACTGGAAGTCCATGGAGATTCTCCAAGAAGCTTCTACAGCTCTGTCCCACATGGGAAGTTGTTAAGAAGAGTTTGGATAACCATTTGTCTGAAAGGGTAGAGGAAAGGTGGTATTCAGCCAGTTCTGACAGGTCCTGGAGAACCAAGAGTGGAAATTTTGAGTAGTTTGGAGAAGCGGTAAATACCCACCTTGACTGGCCCCACCCCCATCTATTCTCTGCCTCCCTTTGAGTCCCAGCCGATTGGCTGGGTCTTCTTTGGTTGCCCTGCATAGGAGAACGGAGCTGGAAAGCAGGTTAGTGGGGTGAGGAGGGATTGGGGATTTTGCAGTAACCTTCCCCCAGGAGTGGGGAGGGAATGGAGATTTTGCAGTATATCCTTCCCCTACCATGCCCACCAAGCCATGCCCACAGAACTGGTAGTAAAAAAACTTGAATACCATCCCTGGGGTAGAGGCAGGGGTGGGATTCAAATTTTTTAACCGGTTCTGTGAGCGTGGCTTCAGTGGTGGGCGTGGCTTGGTGGTCACGTGACTGGCTGGGCGTGGCCCACTCAATATCACTCGCATCAGAAGCACGCATCTCCTCGCCTGGCTTCTCATGACTTTGGGGATGCTGCAACAGTCGTAAGTGTGAAAAACGGTCATAAGTCACATTTTTCAGTGCCATTGTAACTTTAAATGGTCACTCCACACAACCAAAGTACCAGCAAAGGAGGGGGGAAAAACTCCAGAGAAGTTCCAGAGACAGGAAGTCTAGTC